GGGAGGGGGGGCGCCTGCCCCACAGGCTGTGTGAGAGAAGGTAAGGGTGTCTTCCCGCGGGCAGGACGGCTGGTGCTTTCTGGCAGCGTTACTGCTGCCTACAGAATCGTGGAATCGTTTTGGTTGGAAAAGACCCTTAAGACCATCGAGTCCAAGCGTTACCCAGCACCGCCCGGCCCACCGCCAAACCCTGTCCCTCAGCACCAGGTCTGCCCGTCTGAACGCCTCAGGGGAGGGCGGCTCCACCGCTGCTCTGAGCAGCCCGTGCCAGTGCTTGACAACCCTTTCCGTGAAGAAATTTTCCCCAGTATCCGTCCTAAACCTCCCCTGGCACAACTTGAGGCCGTTCCCTCCTGTCCTCCCGCCCGTTCCTTGGGAGCAGAGGCCAACCCCCCCTCGCTACACCCTCCTGTCAGGGAGCTGTCGAGAGCGAGAAGGTCTCCCCTCAGCCTCCTCTTCTCCAGGCTGAACACCCCCAGGGCCCTCAGCCGCTCCTCACCAGACGGGTGCTCCACACCCCTCACCAGCTCTGCTGCCCTTCTCTGGACACGCTCCACAGTACAGATCTCTTACTCCCCCTAAAAATCAGTGCATTTAAGCACGTAATGCACACTTCGTTATTGAGCATACACTGAATAAAACTGCTTCTCAGACAGCCACGGGTTAACACAGGCAGTGATTGATAGCTTTCTGTAGATAAAAGTACTGCTAAGAACTGCTGTCACCAGTAATTTTTGTCCCTGGAGAGCTTCTAATGTGAAACCCACCGCAATAAGGCACACACCACCAGCAACTGAAGTTTGGGCCCAAGCAGGACAAAATGCCAAAGGACGTTCGGATGGTGTCTGCCCACACAGAAAGAAGTCACAAGCGAGGGTATGAACAATTATCTTTTGAGGCACATTTCACTGTATGTCACCAGGCAAAATTTTATGATGAAAAAAATAAACCTTCAGAGAACAACAGTTCAGAAAAGAGATACAGTCATAAAAACCTGGAAGCCCCCTGACCACGCTAACATCAAGACATACCAGACAAAGTATTTAGGCCTTCATGATTTCCCCCCAACAGCTTCGTCACGGCAGATTCTATGAGGTAAATCACCATAGTCATGAAGACAATATAAAGGCTTACATATATAAATTGGACCTTTAAACCTAAGCCCTTTGCACTTTGAGGTAAATTGAAATTCTGTACTGGTAGGGCGCTCCAATTCTGATGGAGACAACGCACCATTCTGAAGTGCAGCATTGGTGGTGAGTTTCCAAAGACGTTTCTTGCAGTCACCCTTGGCTGAACGACAGAGGAGTGTTTGGAGAGGCCATAAGGGTGACAAACAATGCAAATGGCAACTGCAACAAATTCTTATGCTGCAGGCCCAGCTCCTGAGTAAGTCACACATACGGTATATCACAGACCAGTAGAAGATCCTTCAGTTTATGAAGCACTGATAACATCACAAACATATACAAGGACCTGTAAAGAATTCAGCAGTAGACTCCCTCCTATTCTCTACCGGTTCTCCTGCCTACTCCTGCCCACACAGTCCCTTGAAATGAAGTAACTCTCTTGTGCCCATGAATGGTAACAAACGAAAATAAAACTCATCTGAAAACTTTAGGTGGGCAAGGACAGAAAACCCTACAGCAAACCTGTGGCGATTTCTGAACCAGAAAGCAATATATTGGTCTTGTGTAATTATGTTAGGTAATTATGGCAATGTCTCACTGTGACTTACTGTGATATGCTTACAACGTTGGTACCCAAACTTCGTACATCTTAGTGCCTGATGCAGCTACAGTCCAGCCACTTCTTCTTGATGTCCTTTGGCGCAATCCCAGACAAGGTAGGACTAGTGTCTCCTGACACAAAAATCAAGATGTGGAAGCTCTGCACATATTGACTCAGGAGGAAGCACTCCTGAAATGTAGATAATAGCCAAAATGACACCACAATAATAGAAAGGGCTCAAAATATTCCATCTGTTATTCATCATGAAATACCTATGCTAAGACTCTGGCTGTATTATCCCCAAATTTAATTAAAAATTACTGACTGCTACATAATGAAAGTGGTGACATGGTTTGTGATATAAAAGTGAGTATAAAAATCTACTAGTTATGTTACAGTAAAATGACCAGGAAAATACAGAAAGAAAACAAACAAAACCAAATTAAAATCACCCATTTCAATTAATTTGGAAATGAACTGAAAGGAATTAAATCAAAGAATTCATGGGGAAAAAAAAATGAAGTGTAGAGCTGTGGGATGGTCAGATTTTACTTAGCTAAGCTTTCTGACTTTTCTTAAATTGTAACCCAATATAGAATGACTGTAGTACTCAAATCTGGAAATTAAGAAATAGGTATTCATCCTCCCAGCCGCCACTCAGCAACAGTCATGAGCTCCTGACCACTTATAGATAGAAACAAAAGATTCCTGGTGTGCTTTGTGGGTAATCACTGGTAACTTTTACCAACGGGTCTTAGCATACCCTTTACTGCTACTATAGTCACCTCTATTTGTCCAAATAAAGAGACTACACTAGTTATATTAACCAACGTAATTAAAATTTAAAAATAGAATGTCTCCTGTAAAAATGGCCAAAAGAAAGTGCATCAGGGAGGTTAGTTTACACTCCAGTTGCCTTTTATAGGAATTCTTTAACTTTCCTTGAATAGATGAGGTACTGGATAACAAGCCCGATTCCAGTCCTTCTACAGGCAAGGACAAATAGTATAGACCTAATACTCTCTAATAAGAATAGTACAGACCTCAAATGAACCATCGGTTTGTTCCACATGCAGTTACTTTTTTAACTTTTTTATTATAATGGCTTCCTGTCTCTCTCGTGCTCTGGTTTGCAGCTTCAAACATGTCATTTCATGTGTTACAAGTTTATCCTTCTCAAAGGGCTTTTCTGTAGTGGGTTTTTTTAACATGTAAGAGAGAACAAAAATGGTTTTCTGTAACATTTTCTCACCTGTTGCTCCTTTCCTTCTGCTCTGCACTAAGTATCTCAGGGGAGCTGAAGACCAACTGCACTATCTGTACTGCAGATGCTGTCCCATCTCATGGTGCGCCCTGGAATCCACGTATGACTCTGAGGGGACTACACACATACATTCCGGTTATCCCCAAGCTGCATACTAACATAAGCCAGGAATGCACATAAAGAAGAGCAACAAAGGGGAGAGACAAAATTTCTAGGCAGCAAAGAGATTTAGACAAACTGGAAGTATTATCTGTAGACACTATGCATCTTACTCTTTGTTTAGAAATCGATCATGAACAGATAACTCACATTAATTTCCATTCTCAGTTCTCTGAATAACAGTTTAAATCAATCTATTTGGATTTAAATTTTTATTATACGTTCCTAGAAAGCACTCATAACCAAATCACTGGAGCAGTAAATCTACTGAGGAGTGGAAGTAAGTATTTTAGGGAGAGCAGGGGACAGCAGATGATGAAGAAATATCCAGTGACAGAATGTCTGTCAGTTGTGCTATCATTACGTATTACCAAAAAATAACAGCTTAACATATCTCTTCTCCATCTCTGCTCCTAATGAAAACCTAGTACTTCCTGAACAGCATAAGAACATAACTGGATCAGATCAAAGCTCTAGCCAGTTGGCTTTCCTTTGACAGAGGTGAACAGCAGAAGGCTAAGTAAGAATTTAGAACAGGGTATTGCAGTCTTTCCTCAGTAAAGAATTCCCTAAGCTTCCAACAGCTCATGACCAGCACCCTTGAGCATCTGGCCCTGGGACAGTACCCGTGGTTTTAATAATCTGTGACATGCCTTCTGTCATGAATTTGCCTTATTTGACTCTTTGAACACGTGCCAACTTTTGTTATCAATATTACACCATGCCAGCGAGTTTACAACTTTAACTAAATATTGCATGAAAAAGAAACTCACAAAAAGTACCCCCAGTAATATTTTAAATTTAAAAATGCAACTTTACAAGCCAAATTCTACCAGGAGTTAGCTTTGTGTGCTTTTAACTAAGCTCTGGCATTGAATTTCAGAAGAATGTTCATGATATCAAAATTAAGAATCCTTCTCCCATCTGAACAACCATATGGAAATGCTTGTAATTAAATTCTAGAATTGCTGAAATACTGATATTCTCCCTAGGCAGCTCTGCAGACCATATGATGCACTGCAAAAAGGGATTACTTAGTGACTTCATTTATATCACGTAAATGATAGCACAATAGGATATCTCACATTGAACATTACACAGAACTGCTCTAAGGCAATCATTATGCCACAACGTGAATATATTTGATAATTTCTAGTATCTTTTAACATATAGTATCTACAGTTACCCGGAGTTAACTCTTTTAAACATGCTACTTTAGAAAAACAAAGCCCAACAAACTAAGCACCGTATAACTATGGCGGAATATTTAATTCCACCAGAGACATAACACACCAAGATTTGCTATGGAACAACATCTTTCAGACGTGAAGCGTACAGAGAGCAGTGCCGCCGGTCCGCGCCACAGGCGGGTACCGCCACCCGCCCTGTCCCCATCGCGTCTCCCGGCGCGGAG